ATCAGTAAGAGTCTGATTTTTTTCCCCCCTCTAAAACAAATGAGTTGGGCTTTAAGAGTGTATATTTGAAATAAGTATTCAGGCTGAGAAATGTATTTTTCTCCTTTCTTAGGGTGTTGACGTGGGTTCCGTGATTCCGATGCTTTGTTCTTTGCGTTATTCTTAAATATTGACACAGCCATTCTTTTGTTCATATAACAAATATTTGTTGAGTACATAAGTCCAAATAGATCTTATCTCCCTTGGAGGGGAGATAAGCTCTATTTGAACAGCTGTAGCAAAGGTGGTACACAGTGTTGGGAGAATGCAAAGGAAGGTGAGACTTGTTTGCAGCTGGGGGAGAGCCAAAAAGGCTTCTTTGGTTGGGGTTGCCATCTGGGCGTGAAGGGTCTGAATCTGGCTGGCAGGGCATGTAGGTGGAGATGGAGGGAGGAAGGCATGGACATGCACAGGGGACAGGAGGTACAGTTCCAGTAGGAGAGATAGGACATAAGGGCAGGGGGGCCAGATCACAGGCCTTTGGTTCTAGGTTAGGCAGTCACTACTCTGAGGAGGAGCAGTGGGGAACTGTTGAAGGTTTTGACAAGGGTTGTGGCATGGTCTTCAAACAGTGTGTCCAGTGAAACGTGTCAGACCAGGACATAGAGAACTGTGCCTCTGTGACTTGAGGTGTGCCTCTCGCAGTTTTCAATGGAGTTCCCTGGGAGCTGAATGGCAAGACTTGGTTCTGAAGGACAGAGCCCCCCTGTAACCTCTGGGCCTTGGTAACTCCTGCCGGCTTTCTCCGGAGCGGGACCAGGTGGCCAGCTTGGATTCAGCCTCTCCCGTTCTGCTCTATCAGCCCTAGACTCACTCTGTCCACGTCCCAGAACCTGACTCTGCCACCTAGGCCATGCGGTGGCTTGACTCCCATAATCCTCCAGGATCTGTGTAACAGCCATGGCACTCCCGCCTCCATCTCTGGTTTTGACTTTTTTGTTTCTCTTCGAGAGCTGAAAGCTAGTAAGTTTTTTGGCTCTGCTGTGATGCTGACAAAGGGCAGAGGAAGAGACTTTTACTGTGTTAAAAGGTGATAAAGATTTGGTTCAAGGTGTGGAGAGATGGGGGGAAAGGAGGGTGCATTCTGCAAATAGAAGTGACAAGATCCCATGGTTGAATGTGAGTGTGAGGGAGAAGGAATCAAATAACAGTGCTTTTAAACCTCTGCGAATTGAAATGGTTTTGAAAGGGCCAGAAGACACTTTTCTTACTTTTACAAACTTGAACTGAAGCAAAACGTTGTGGACAAAGCTGTCGAAGAGGCTATTTATTTATTTTTAGCTTTAGTGGTGATTTCCCTAAAGGGTATAATGATCAGCCTGGTGAAGTAAATTGTACCAAAACAATGCCTAGCACAGACTGCAATAATTGAGTAGGATCAGAAGAAATGTTTACAAAAAAATGCCGGTATAACAAAATGTGAAAGTAGTCCTTCCGTTGGTTCTAATCTTCATGTTATTGAGTCACTGCCTTTTAGTGCGAGATCTGGCACTGTGTTTCACAAACAAATTCAGAAAGGAAATATAATGCTAAATTGGGGAGTGGGGTAGGGAAGGAAGGCAATGCAAAACTCAAGAATCTTGAAAACGGAAAGCAAGCTGGTTTCAGCAGAAGTTATTGTATGTGGTGCCTATGAGCTGATGGACTTCACTGAGTGCTTTCCCGGTGGGATATTACATGACAATAATGATAGCCAAAATTTATTGAGCAACTAAAGTGTCAGGCACCACTCTAGAAACTCTTTTACCTGAAGACCATCTCATTTAATCCAGACAACATCCTGTGAAAATGGGTGTCTTACTATCTCCATTTTATAGGCAGAGAAAATTGAGGCTCAGAGAGAGAGGCTCATTGTAACGCAGCTACTAACACATGCTTTAGCTTTGACTCATTAATGCTAATGTTTTATTCAGTTAGCTTCAATTGGGGGATGCACTGAGGACCTCTCATATGATGATAAGTGTTCCTGAAGCATCTCTGAAAACATAGGCTATGTTTGATGGCACCAGGTAAAGGGCTACAGGGACAGACCTGCTTTTGGCTTCTCCTTGATTTCTTAGTTCAGCTTATGGACGTCCTCTTGGTCCTTGGCTTGGGCCATTATAATCATTGTCATCAGTTTAATGACTATGGTTATTGAACTATTTCTATGTGCCAGCGCCAATAATGAGCACTTGGCTGCATTATTTCATGTGATTACCATAACAATAGGATATTGCTCCTCTGGTCTTCGTTTTATAGAAGAGGAAGCCATGTGAGAGGCCACAGCTGCTAAGAAGCAGAGATGGGACTCAAACCCATGTCTGTCTGACTCCAGAGTCCATGGTCCTGACCACATGGCATTTTGCCCCAGCACTGGGCTTTTCTCAAAGTATCATGATCCCTACTTTGGACTTCCCTTCATTGGGGTTTAGTTAGGCTTAATATAAAACCTAGATGCATTTCAGGGGTTGCTTTCGGTTCTCTCTCCTCCATACCTTGTGATGTTGTTGGCAATTTTATTCACATTTTGAATCAGTCATTAGGCTAATTACCCAAGGGAGCTGGGATTCCTTTTTTTTTTTTTTTTTATAAGTGTTGCCTGGTGGATGATGCATTGATGGCACTGGATGCAATTTTCAAATCACAGAAGCATTTTTTCTTACACATCGGGAGGGGGGGGTGGCATCATAGCACCTCCGTGGAAACCAGGCATCCTTGAGGGAGGCTTGGTGGTGTGGCAGGAAATCAGCTTTTAAGGCTTTGTAGAGCTCACATAAAACGACATCCGTCTCCTTTCATTTAAATCCAAATTCTTGCCAGAGTGCAAAAATTAGCATCAGATATTAGCAGGCTGCTCTTCTGCTGGACAAAATAGTGGTTATTTGGATCTAAAGGGCACATTTTGCTCATTGTTTATATGTTTCAGTGAGGTGAGACTTGTTCTCCTTGTGGGAATTCTCAACGAAGACTCACTTCTGTATAAGAAAATTACAGACAAGGATATTGAATTTTATGTCTTATGCACTACATAAAAGCTAATGAAAATAATAACCAATTAGACAGTTATAAAGCCTGAGTATATTAAAGTGTTATGCAAATATTGATTAATAGTAATACCATAAACTCACAGAGCAAGCAAAAGCATGCCTGGTTTAAATTACAGGAGCTTTCATTTGCATTTCCACCGAGCCTATTATTAGTGGGTCTCAAAGCACCTTACAAGTAATAATTATTAAAGCTCATAAACACAGCCAGGAAATGCATTTTATTGAGGGAATAAGTAAGAGGTGGTCCCCTTTACCTCATACATATTATGAGACCTAAACGCCTGAGCTAAAACAGACTTGTTCATATAAAGAGACTATTCCTACACTGTGGGTGTTTAGGGCTGCGATTTATAGGTTAGAAGTTGACATTCACGGATTTAAGGTTCTTGTATTGAGTATCTCAACCCATAAAATAACTTTCAGTGTATTTTAATATTTCTCTATTGACTATCATATCAAACTGTAAAACAAGCATTGTGCCAAGTTCACTTGAAAGTATTTAAACATATTTTGGAATGTTGTGTCAGGTTTATTTTTTCTCAAGCTAATATCTTATTCCAAGGACTAATGGCTTTTAGGCACAGTCAGTGGGACCTGTATTGATTTCCATTCTCACTAGCAAGTCTCTGAAAGGTTGTCAAGATTTCGAATCTGCTTTAAAAGATCCCTTTGCCCTTTCTGTCTTATTTCTCCTCTTTTTTCCTTCCTTTGCAACTACCTTACTCTCTAAAGCTAAGCACAGGTTGGAAAATCTTAAGACTATTCCCAGTGCCTGACTCTCCCTCTATCTTGAGTCCTTGAGCTGCCCCCACATGGTTGATTCTCAGCCTTATTTCCTTCTGGTACCAAGAGACTATATTGAAGTGGTTGGTCACTATTGTGGAGCAGGTGTACTTCCATGGTTATACTTCAGGGTCACGTAGATTCCAAGAACAGTGTGGACTAGTGGACACCTTCCTTTAGAGTTAGGCCACTGGTTGGCAAACTCATTAGTCAACAGAGCCAAATATCAATAGTACAATGATTGAAATTTCTTTTGAGAGCCAAATTTTTTCAACTTAGACTATATAAGTAAGTATATTTTTATTAACTTAATTAGAATATGTGGTATTTTGTGGAAGAGCCACACTCAAGGGGCCAAAGAGTCGCATGTGGCTCGCGAGCCACAGTTTGCCAACCACTGAGTTAGGAATACTGGAACCCAGAAAGAATGAGTGACCTGACTGAGGTCATATAGCTGCTTTCTGTCTCAGTAAACTGGGACCAGAACTCAGGTCTCTAGACTGATAAAGGTTTTTGCTCTACCTTCATGTGACAGTAATTATATGATGCTTCAAATCACACACACACACACACACACACACACACACACACACACACACAATTTAAACCAGAAACATAGGACCAGAAGTAGAAGAAATAATTTGTTGGTGTTTTATCCAGGGTTATGGATCAGTAAGACAAGGGCTGGAGCCTCAGGCATCTGAAGACAAATGGAGTGATGAATATGCAGAGCTAAAATGGTGGACCCTGAGATTATTGCTGTTCAGGAGTTGAATGATGGGGGTAGAGAGGAAGGAAGAGCCAGTTGAAATGAGAACAGGGTGCGGTAGGATGGTAGTCATAGAGGATTGGAAGGATGTTGAGTTTATGGCCGTGGCAAGTTGTTGATGTCAAATGAAGAAAAATTCTATTGGCTCCTGGGTCTATGGTCCTTAAGGACAACAGAGTCTCTCAGGATGACCTCAGAAGGGGAGGGAGAGATAAAGGCATGCACAGCATGTATCAAGGTTCTCAGCACATGCAGAGTAATACATTTCTGGGAACCGGTGATGTTAAAGATACTGGAGGAGTGTTTATGAATTATATAAATTTATGTCTGTTTTATGAGAGACTCTACATGTCTAAATTCTAATATCCATGTTTTTCCAGGGAAAACTGAGGCTGCTATAAAAAACTTCAGTCCCTTCTACAGTCGCCAGTACTCTGTGGCCTTCTGCAATCATGTGCGCAGTGAAGTAGAACAACAAAGAGATCTAACATCACAAATTTTGAAGACCAAGGTAACCCATGACCATTTGGCTTTATATCTTTCTTCCACTGAGTAATGCTTTATAATTCACTAGAGACCTGGTGCATGAATTCCTGCACCAGTGGGGTCCCTCTGCCTGGCCTGTGGGATCAGGCCAAAACTGGCTCTCCAACATTCTCCAAGGGGTCCTGGATTGTGAGAGAGCTGGGGAGGGATGCAGGAGGTTGGCCAGCTAGAGATGGACCATGGGAGGGCTCCAAAGCATGTTCGGCCCATTTTGCTCAGTCCCAATCAGCTGGACTCTAGCAGCAAGCTAACCTACCAGTCAGAGCGTCTGCCCCCTGGTGGTCAGTGCACATCATAGCGACTGGTTGACTGGTCAACAGTCTGCCCTCTGGGGTCAGTGCACATCATTGTGAGCAGTTGAACAGCCTTAGCATATCATTAGCATATTATGCTTTAATTGGTTGAACTGATGACTGGATGACTGGACACTTAGCATATTAGGCTTATATTATATAAGTTAATATATCTGAAAGAAGCATTCATCTGAATGACAATTTTTAAAAAAAATGTGTTCTCATTTCATGCTCAAAAAAACTCTTATTTACCTGGAAGTTAGAACATATGTGGTGTAATCCATATTAAAAAAATAGCATGATCCAGTTTTATTTTTTTCCTCCCCTTGATGCTTTGATACCAGCAAATTTGACTTGATGTAGTGAAGTTTAGTTTACAAAGTCTTAATTTTAGTGCCTTGTATTACTGTCATTTTTATTTTGTCCATTGATCAAATAGGATTTTTCTCTTCTAATCCCCTAACTTATTCTTTCTTCTTTGCTCTATTATCACAATTATCCACGACTTCCACAAAGAATCATTGACACCTACCATGTGCCAGGCCCTATTCCAAGAACTAGGGAACCAGACAAATTCTCTGCTTCCTCTTTATATTCAAATGTAGGAGACAGACAATAAACAAATGAATATCAGGAGCTAATAAATGCTATTAAGGAAAAATAGAGCAGGAGTCCTCTTTTAGAGTAGATGGTCAGAGGACCCTGCTGTGGAGGTGACATGTGAGGAGAAACGGGAGTGAAATAAATGGAGACTGTGTGCATATCTGTGGGAAGACTGGTCGAGGCAGATGTCACAGCAAGTCCAGAGACCCTGAGGTAGCCACAGCACACTGGGAAGGCTGAGAGCAGGGTAAAGAAGGGAGGAGGGAGGAGAAATGACTAATGGGTGACAGGTAGGGACTAGACCACGTGGGACCTGTAGACTACCATTGGGTGTTTATATTAGTGTTATTTGTGAGGACAGAACACTAAGCCCCAGGATTTGGAAGGGAATGTATTTCATCTCTGAAAAAGATGAGCAGTTCTATCCTCTCTGGGTGGTTCCTGTAAATGTTGCTTGAAAATGGAGGAACGAGTTCCTAAAGGCATTACTATGTGATCTTTAATAAAAGGGAAAGTAGATGTAAATTCATGTAAAAGACAGAAGATCCAGTTCCATAATTTGAGATAAATCGGGAATTGCACTGTGAGGCAGGATGGGAATGGTTCCTTCCACAAGTAGCTCTGGGAAACCTAGCTGGAACTCTTACAGAGACTCTCCTACAGCCTCTGTGCCACCAGTTAATGAGAAACCCTCCAACTTTTAAGTGGATGCAGAACTGGGCTACTATGCTGGCTTGCCTGCTATTCTTTGATGGAAGAGCCAACAGGGTCTCTGTGAGAACAGGCTCAGGGTTTACAGCCTGGCTCCCAAGGCTTTGGGGCCTAGGAAAACCAGTGAGCCTGACATATATATAATTTATTATTATTTTTTTTTACAGAGAGGAAGGGAGAGAGATAGAGAGCTAGAAACATCAATGAGAGAGAAACATCGACCAGCTGCCTCTTGCACACCCCCTACTGGGGATGTGCTCGCAACCAATGTACATGCCCTTGACCGGAATCGAACCTGGGACCTTTCAGTCCACAGGTCAATGCTCTATCCACTGTGCCAAACCGGTTTCAGCTTTTTATTTTTTACTTTTATTGATTTCAGAGAGGAAGGGAAAGGGAGAGAGAGAGATAAAAACATCAATGGTGAGAGAGAATCATTGATCAGCTGCTTCCTGCATGTCCCTTCACCAGGGACTGAGCCAGCATGTGCCCTTGTCAGGAATCAAACCCAGGATTCTCCACTCCGCAGGCTGATGCTCTATCCACTGAGCCAAACCTGACTTTTGAGGCTGCCAGAGGTGTGATGAATAGGGAAACAGCCCGTTAATTTTTCTGTTTTTCAGGATTTAAACGGAGGCATATCCCTGGTGTTGGGCTTGATGTCTACAATTTAACTGCTTCCCTCCCTCTCTTCCACAGAGTTTATCAAGGATTTATCAAGTGCCACGTGCATCCCAGGCATAGTGTTGTCTCTGTAGCACCATGGAGGGAAATGAAAGCCACAAAAATATTAATAAAACAAATGTTTGCATCTGATCAGGAGGGTAGGAGAAGGAAGTGTGTAGGGAGGGGAAGAAGCAACCATTTCTCCAGGATGTCAGTTTCCTGAAATATTCCTTGAAATGCCAGGGCCAGACTTAGTGGTAGTATGGCATGTTATCTTTTGGGGCCATAACTAATTGTATTCGTCTTCTTTAAGCCACCATTGAATCCTGGGACCATTTTATATGAAGCAGAACTATCCCAGTTTGCCGAAGATCTAAAGAAATGGAAGGAGAGATATGTGGTGGTTAAAAATGATTTTGCTGTGGAGAGCTACGAGAACAAAGAGGTAAGGTATTTCCTTGTTACCCTGGCTTCTCCCAATACTCTTACTGAAAGAATCAGGATTGATTCTTTTTTATTATTATTAAATATTTTATTGATTTTTTACAGAGAGGAAGGGAGAGGGAAAGAGAGCTAGAAACATCAATGAGAGAGAAATATCGACCAGCTGTCTCCTGCACACCCCCTACCAGGGATGTGCCTGCAACCAATGTACATGCTCCCAACTGGAATTGAACCTGGGACCCCTCAGTTCACAGACCAACGCTCTTCCACTGAGTCAAACCGGTTTTGGCAGGATTGGTTCTTAAAATATATATATATATTGATTTTATTGATTTTTTTACAGAGAGGAAGACAGAGGGATAGAGAGTTAGAAACATGGATGAGAGAGAATCATCCATCTGCTGCCTCTTGCACACCCCCTACTGAGGATGTGCCCGCAACCAAGGTACATGCCCTTGATCGGAATTGAACCTGGGACCTTTAAGTCCATAGGCAAATACTCTACTCACTGAGCCAAACCTGTTTCAGCAGGATTGATTCTTTCCATAAGCACTCACTCTCGAGCAGGCACTCATTTCCGTTAACAGATGTTTACTGAGTGCCTATTGTATGCTGCATATCATGAAAGGTCTGGGCCTATGCAGTCTAGTGGGCAAGACAGACTTGGAACAGCTCATTGCAAGTGAGTGTGAAAACAGGTTATGCCTCGTGACCAGTGCAGGAGCCTTTCCTGTGACCATTCAGCTTCAAGGTCTTTCTCAGTCACTGCCCCACTGCCTCTCCCTTTGCTCTGTGTCTCCAAGTCTCCCCACATAGCATTTATTTACTCATTCATTTTAATCCTCACCTGAAGATGTGCTTTTCATTGATTCTAGAGAGAAAGGAAGGGAGAGAGAGAGAGAGAGACAGAAACATTCATGAGAGAGACGTAGCTATGGGTTGCTACCCATATGTGTCCTGACAGTATGGAACCGCAACCTGGGTTTGTGCCCTGACTGAGAATTGAGTCCACAACCCTTAGGTTCACAGGACGATGCTCTAACCAACTGAGCCACACTGGTCAGGGCCTCCCCAGTCTTAAGCTTCCTACATGACAGGTGGTTGAGGAATTACTTAATAAGGTTATGAGTGAGCCCTGGCCAGGTGGCTCAGTTGCTTGGGGTGTTGTTCTTTATACCAAAAGGTTGCAGGTTTGATTCCCAGTCAGGGCATATACTTAGGTTGTGAGTTCAGTCTTGGTCAGGGTGCATAAAAGAGGCAACTGATCAAAGTTTCTCTCTTGCATAGATGTTTCTCTCTCTCTCTCTCTCTCTCTCTCTCTCTCTCTCTCTCTCTCTCTCTCCTCCCTTTTTATCCCTTCTTCTCCCTCTAAAATTAATAAACATCCTGAGGTGAAGATAAAAAAAATTGTGATTGAATGTTCTTGAGTTCCTAGGAATCCAGAGCATTTCACATACTTATTCCACCTGTATTTATGAATTTTTTTCTTTTAACTTATTTCAGGTTATCTTATTATTTATCTTGTCTGTGAAATGTGGGGAGAAATGAGATTAAGAACATTAGTAAAGTGCCTAGCACCCAGGAGGGCTTCAGTTTTTCTTGGTCCCTATTTCCTTCCGCATGGAAGGTACAGTGGTGTAGAAAAAAGAACACTGGACCATGAATCAGGAAAACTAAAGTTTAGGCGAGGCTCCCATTAAACTGGAGAATTAGGCTGACTGATCCCAACAGTTCTTTTCAGATCTACTGTACACATTTTAAATCTACATAGAATCTCAGGCTGTCTTTGAAATGAATAGTTATTATTTTTTTTTTTTTTCAGTTAGTAGTAACAGATTTAAAACTTTGTTCCCTTGCCCTAGCCATTTTGGCTCTGTGGAGAGAGTGTTGGCCTGTGGACCTAAGAGTCTGGGGTTTAGTTCCAATAAGGGCACATGGCTGGGTTGTGGGCTTGATCCCTAGTGGGGGGCATGCAGGAGGCAGCCAATTAATGGTTCTCTCTCATCATTGATGTTTCTATCTCTCTCTCTCCCTTCCTCTCTGAAATCAATAAAAATATTAAAACAACAACAACAACAAAACAACCAAAAAACCCCCAAAACTTTGCTCTCTTGACACTAAATCTATAGGAGGAGACTTCAGGCCAGCAGACCAATGTGTTTCCTTCCCGTTTCTGATGGAAAATAGAAATAAAGTACAATATTAACTTATTCTACAGGCCATCAGGCAATGCTGCGTTGAATAGTCTTATTCTTTGCAACATTCATTAAGCTAATATTTTCTTGGCTTATTTATAGTAGGATTTTATTCAACAGTTGATGTGCTCTCTGCAGCAAATTATCAATACCCTACATATAGTAATGATAATAAGTCACCTTTATTTATTTTTTAAAAATATGTTTTTCTTGATTTTAGAGAGAGGAGGGAAGGGAATAGAGAGATAGAAACCCTGACAAGAGAGGAACATCATCAATCACTGCCTCCTGCACACCCTCTACGGGGGATCGAGCCCGTAACCCCGGGCTTGTGTCCTGACCTGGAATCAAACTGGTGACCTCGTGGTTCATGGGTTGACACTCAACAACTGAGCCACACTGGACACAAATCACCTTTATTTGTATTTTATGGTATGGTGTCCTCTCAGGTAAGCTTGAGAAGACGTAGTATTGCAGAATGGTTAATATTGTGGACTTTGAAACACACTTTTATCAATTATAAAAGTGTCCTTTCGTAAGTCATAAATCTCCTTGAGCCTCACCTTTCTCATCTGTGAAATGGTAAGTATGATCCCTTCCTCATGATGTTGCTGTGAGGATTAAACAAATGAGTGTATTGAGCTGAAACCAGTTTGGCTCAGTGGATAGAGTGTCAGCCTGCAGACTGAAAGGTCCCGGGTTTGATTCCGATCCAGGGCATGTACCTTGGTTGCAGGCACATCACCAGTAGGGGGTGTGCAGGAGGCAGCTGATGGATGATTCTCTCTCATCCATGTTTCTAACTCTCTATCCCTCTCTCTTCCTCTCTGTGAAAAAATCAATAAAATATATTCTTTTAAAAATGAGTGTATTGAAGCCCGTAGCTCATAACCAAGCACTGGTAGAGCCCAATGGAGAGCAGTTGTCTGATTACCACTAAATAATTGGGAGGAAACACTCATAGAGCTTCCTCTTATATTTATTATGGTTTTCACCATATTTGGCACTAATTGAAGTTTCATTTTGAATCAAAACTGGTGTTTTTCCTCTTTTCATTTTTTAAACGTTCAAACTATTTGCTCATTATTTTCAAGTAAAATCGTTCAGATTTTTCAGATACGATTACTGAATTAGACAATAACAAAGTACTAAAAATTATTTTGCTCATCGTTTTCAAATGGTCCAGTTTGCAGTTTTTAAGATGCATATTTTATTTTATAATATACTTTTTAAATTAAATTATTATTTTTGTACATATACCAATGCCCCCCCCCCTTCGGTACATACCCTCTCTCTCCAGAGTTTTGTGTCCATTGGTTGTACTTATACACATGTATACAAGTCCTTCGGTTGATTTCTTATTTCCCCCAGATCTCCCCAACCTCCCCGCTGTAATTTGACAGTCTGTTGCTTTACTGTCTCTATATCTATCTTTTGGTTCTTCAGTTTATAATGTTCTTTATCATCCATAAATAAGTGAGGTCATGTCGTGTCTCTCTTTCATTGACTGGCTTGTTTCACTCAGCATGATGTTCTCCAATTCCATCCAGGTTGCTGCAAACGATGAGAATTTTTTCTTTTTTATGGCTGCGTAATATTAAGATACATATTTTAAAGCTATGATTGCTGAATTTGATAATAAGCAAGTGTTAAAAACTTGGAAATTTAAAAAATGGCGTGTAGTCTGCCATAATTCCTCCAAGTTTTAACATTTTTTTTTTCATTTAGAGAAAGGTATTTTTAAAAATTACACCCAAGAGTTATACATTAAGTGCCTATAAATTGCCTATTTGGCTGGTAATTGAGTAGGAAAAAGGAAACATTCTCATTGGATAATTATTTAATTTGTACTTCCTGTATGGTTGCACTGGGCTGGCCAGACCCAGGTATGAGCCCTGAGTTTGTCACCTACTCACCCATGGGCCATTGGTAGGTTATTTAACCTGTTTTCTCGTTTATAAAAGGGAGATAATAATAGTGCTGTTTTTAGGATTGAAGGATGCAGTGTTCATAAAAGCCCAGATTTTTTTTTTTAAATATTTTATTGATTTTGTACAGAGAGGAAGGGAGAGAGATAGAGAGCTAGAAATATCGATGAGAGAGAGTCATCGATCAGCCGCCTCCTGCACACCCCCTACTGGGGATATGCCCACAACCAGGGTACATGCCCTTGACCGGAATCGAACCCAGGACCTTTCAGTCCCCAAGCCGACGCTCTATTCATTGAGCCAAACCGGTTTCGGCAAAGCCCAGATTTTATAACAAATGACACAGTTTAGATTTGAGGCCAGTCTCAGTCAAGCTGCTTCTGAACTTTTTCAAAACCACACAACTTTCAATTCCTCCGTTAGGCCCCCAGGTCCCTGACGTGCATACGCAGTTGATTAGCGGGTTTCACAAGTCTGAAAGCAACCTTCTTAGATACGAGCGTTTGTTTTGTTTGGGTCTCTTCAGTCACTGCCTTAGTGAGGGAGAATGCGTTCTCGTCCTGATCACGTTGCCCCAATCCATTATTTTTAGTTATTCCCCAGAGGACACGCTACATTTGGGTCGCACAGTTGCTTGGTTTCCATTCTCAGCTTGCTTTCAGCCCGTTGTTTTCAACATTTTGCCTTGACTTCATCCCTGCCATCAGACGCACACACTTAAAATTTATCTTATCGTACGTCCTTGTGGGCTTATCTGCTTAACAAATACTTGAGTGCCTTAGCCATGCTCACACCTCTTTTACGTTCCCCTAACAGTGGGGCTGTTTGTCTGCTGGCCAGGATTTGTTCTGATGTCATGGCCTTGCTATTCCATCCCAGATCACTTCACTGCAAAGCAGTCTCATGCCTGCCAGCCAGTGAGGCTCAGGGGTTGAGCATTGACCCATGAACTAGGAAGTCAGGGTTTGATTCTGGGTCTGGGCATATGCCTGGGTTGCAGGCTCAGTCCCCAGGATGTGTGCAGGAGGCAGCCCATCAATGATTCTCTCTCATCATTGATGTTTCTCTCTCTCCTTCTCCCTTCTTCTATCTGATATCAACAAAAAGATATAAAACAAACAAACAAACAAAAACAATAAAATAAAATAAAAACTGCAAAAACAGTTTCATGTCAGAGGGCAAAGCAGTGGCATATTTATCACGGCATCATTTTTATGTTTTGTGTGACAATCCATGGCAACCATGACTGCAGTCACCTGTCCCACGGTCACATTAGTCATCGGTCTGCACATGTGTCGTGAGTGTCTGCATGCATCATCACCCTTGTGGTTATTAGAATGACTCAGGTGCCTGCCGGGGCACAGGGTTTCTAGAAGTTACTGAGATGATGCTTTCCTCCGTGAATCTCCCTGAGGTTAGGGACTCTGGCTTCCCATGTTGTGAACATCACACAAAAGTACTAACGTAAGGCCTCACAAGTAGCCGTTGCACAAGACGTATTTTTTAAATACATGGCTCTTACTCAATGACCTAGTGTGGGAATGGCTTACCTGGGTCTGTCTGTCTGTCTGTCTATTTCTAATATTCTGGATATTTTTCAAAAAAATCCAAAAAGGAGGGGGAAATAATCACTCATTTATGCCTTTCCTTTCCCAGGCCTATCAGAAAGGAGCTGCTCCTAAAAGCCGTATCCTTCCAGCGGGTGGCAAAGTGTTAACCTCCGAAGAGGAATACAACCTGTTATCTGACAGGCATTTCCCAGACCCGCTTGGTGAGTTGCTGAGCATTCTTTCCCAGGACGGATTCTCAGACTGGCTGTGCTGGGGAGGCCAGCCACTCCCATTGCGGGAGGGGCGTCTCACCCTCCAGGGACATTGGGCAGCATCTGGAGACATTTTTGGTGGTCACAGCTGGGAGGATGGCGCTGCAGGCGTGCAGTGGGGAGAGGCCTGTGATTCTGTTAAACCTACTGCCATGCACAGAACAGTCTGACAACGAAGAATTATCTGGCGCACAATATCCATAGCTGCAGAAGTTGAGAGACCCTGGGTCAGACACATACACACCACAGACAGATGGGAGATGTGATTTCCCTCATTTAGGTAAACATCGTACCACTCCTATTATTTTTAAACCACATTCAGTAATTCACGATTCGATTGCTATGTTTCGAGCGTTTCAGAAACGTGCCACTGGTTAGACATCGGAAGGTTTGGGGAGTACATTGGTGGCTTTCACAGCTCCACAGGACAGCAGCAATAAGCAGACAGGCCCAGTCTTTGGATTGTACAACCTCATCTTTCAGTAAGCATGTCAGGGAATATTATTTTTCTAAATTGAGGGAGATGTGCAATAGAGTATCCTAAATTGACAAAACGTTTTTAACAAGCGTTACAGTCACTCATAGCTACGGTGTAAAAAAAACATTGACTTAATTAGCATATTTATAAATAATAGCTGAAGGCTGCCATGGAAAGAGCATTGAACTGAGAATTGGAAGACTAGGTTTTTATTTAGTTCCAACTGTGCCACTTCACAGGTGTTCCCCTAGTGTAGTGGTCAGCAAATCGCGGTTCGTGAGACACATGCGGCTCTCCAGCTGTGGTTTGCCGCACTGTTGACTAATGAGTTTGCCGACCACTGCCCTAGTGTTACTAAACCTCTCTGATTACTGTTCCTCCAACTCCAGGGCCTTGAATTTGGAAATCTAGAAGGATCTCTTTCCATCTCTAATGCACTTGGGTTCTCATTCATTCTGTGTTTTCCATGTAGAAAAAGTGATGGATAATATGCATATATAGGCCAAGTAGTGCATTGCATAGAGATTCATGAACTGTGGATAATGTAATAGTCCCATCTGGCTTTGTGTAAATCAAGCTGCACAGTAATTACTTTGTTTCTTGAAGAGAGTGCTGGTTCTTATTAACGGGTATAATCATTTCATTAGAGTTTATGGAGAAAATATAGTTATTTTTTCCACTGTTCTTTTGGTGAGGAATGCTTAGCATAGTGTTTTTAATAGCACTATTATTAGATTAGTACATGGGCCATAAACCTAGATTAAACAAACTATTATTAGGTAATTCAGGCTAAAACAACACTTTGTGTGCACTATACATATTATTATACTTTTTTTCAATGTCTACGTATATTCACCGTGGCTCTGGATCTATTGTTGGAAATGGGAATCTCAACATGATGACCCTTCAGAATCTTTCCAAAAGGACTTCCCAATGAAATCACTCAGAACTCATAATGTGTGTATTGATTTATTGTTGATATCATATCAAAAGGAATGAAAAGGAATAAAAAACACCAGTCCTGTGTGACTAATGCCATTTGGCTCAGGGCTTCAGATTGGGGCATTTCAATGACTTTTTTTTTTTTTTTTCATTGTATCTGTGACCTTCTGGGTTTTAAAAATAGAACATTCTACAGTAGATCATTTGTGATATCCTTGTGACTCAACTTGGGAAAAAATTCAGACTAATGGCATCTGGAAAATTGCTGTAAAAGGTTAAATGAGAGATAGCTAGAGACTAACAGGATCTTAGTGGACTGGATTAATATGAATCTCTTGGAATTGATTTTGAGGGAAGAGGGAAAAGTCCCCATTGCTTAAGGCTTTTAAAATGTCCTAGGATTGCCGAAACCGGTTTGGGTCAGTGGGTAGAGCATCGGCCTGTGGACTGAAAGGTTTGGTTCCAGTCAAGGGCATGTACCTTGGTTGCAGGCACATCCCCAGTCGGGGATGTGCAGGAGGCAGCTGGTCGATGTTTCTAACTCTCTATTCCTCTCTCTTACTCTCTGTAAAAACTCAATTAAAATATATTTATATTTTTTAAATGTCCTAGGACAATGTAGCACATTTATTTATTCAACAAACTATAGTCCAGCATCCACTAGGTTCCATGACTGTGCCATGTGCTGAGGATACAAAGATAAGTCAGATGCAGTCTCCAGCTTCTGGGGGCCTCGGGGCAGTGGTGTAGATTGGAGGTGGGGGGGAATCAGTGAGGGAGCTTATCTGAGACTGTGCCCCTCACCCTGAGTGTGGGTGCCAGACATGGAAACAGATCATTACAATATTATGGGAGAACAAGGTAGGGAACACCCAACTCTGTCTGGTGGCAGAGGGAGGTGTCAACAAAGGCCCCCCAGAGCAGGGAGCCTTTGAATGAACTTTTGAAGGATGAATGAGAACTTTCGGTGGAAAATCATGACGGAAGGGAAGGAGGAAAGGTACTATGAACCGCAGAGGTGATATGCGGAGTCATGGAGTCAATGACTGCACCTGGGGGGAGGAGAGATTGAGAGCGGAGCGGAAACCAGTACAGTACAGAGCAGGGAGCAAGCACCAGCACTTAACTGGAGGATGGAGAGAAGGTGCAGAGGAGCCAGGAAAGGTGACAAAGAAGCAGCAGTGTTTAAAAAGCATGAAGGACACCAGAGAGACGAGCTCCTGGATGTCATGGGAAGAGAGTATTTCCAAAAGAAGGTAGGGTTAGCAGCAACAGATGTGTCAGGTCATGTTCAAAGGACAGATAATAAAGAAGAAGCCACAGGCTGGCAGTTAGCCACAGGGGGACGTTAGTGACCTCAGGAATTTGGTTTCTGGGCTGGAGGGGCAGGAACCAGGCTGAGGTGAGAACAGGGGTTGATGGCAGGAAGACAAGTAACAGGGAGAAGGGAGAGAGTGCAGGGAACAGAGCAGACCTGGTGACACGGGGCCTAGGGGAGAGAGGGGACGGTCTGCCCAGCTGGACCGAGTGGCTTGCAGAGGACCACTAGGGAAGAGGGAGCTCTGTTGGTGCATTTCGTCGATGTGAGGAAGTTGGGAAAGATTGTGTCCAATGGCCTGGGTTGTCCCTGTGGGGTAGGAGGTGGCCTGAGACAGGTGAAGCTGGTGGAGAGATGTGGGAGGAGCCTGAACTCTCAGTCCCTCCTCCCTAGACCTCTCTCACCACCTTTCCATCCCATGGCCTGCCCTCGAGAGGTCCCTTCACAGCCTGAAATAAGCATTTTAAATAGAAGATGCACCGTATAAAACGTCTTTGTGTTTTCGATATTCCCGCAGCATCCAGTGAGAAGGAGAGTGCGCCGCCCTTTGTGGTGCCGCCGAAGGAGTTCCCGGTGTACCTGTGGCAGCCGTTCCTCAGGCACGGCTACTTCTGCTTCCCCGAGGCCGCCGAGCAGAGGAAGTTCCACGCCCTCCTGAGCGACTGCATCCGGCATCTGAACCAGGGTACGGCACCCCTGCCCTCGTGTCCCCAAGCTAAGCAAGAGTCTTGCCAACAGGGAGCAAGGCCAGCATGGTGGCTGTTTAGCCCGGTCCAGAGGCCTCGGTGAGACAGAATGTGGAGCAGGTATCTGATGGCACCTGTAAGGCATGCACTTGAGGTGCCTTCTTCGCACATGCCACTTTGTGCCAATATAATTCATCCTCCTCCTTTTTTTTTTTTTGGTATTCAATTTATTTATTTATTTATTTAATATATATTTTATTGATTTTTTTTTGCCCCCCTCCCTTATACACCCTCCTTCCCCAGAGTTTTATGTCCACTGGTTGTACTTATATGCATGTACACAAGTTTTTCGGTTGATCTCTTATCTCCCCCAGATCATCCTCCTCCTTTTCCCTGATTATTAAAAGTCTAAGGGACAGCAAGAACATGTCCCCTATCCCTGGCAAAATCCTAGTCCTCATGACATTTATTTTTATTCCCTTCTTTATTTCTGAACGGTAGTTACTTAAAACTTTAAGATGCATAAGAATCACCTAGAGCAGTGGTCGCCAACCTTTCGGATCTCACGGACCACCGGTTGGCGACCACGGACCTAGAGAACTTAAATGCAGATTTGGGAGCTATTCGGATGGACTGGGTGTGTTGCAGGCTCTAAAGTTTATTCTTCTGATAAGCTGCCAGGGATGGTGATGTCGTAGGTTCATGGACCACACCTGTAGTGGTGTGGCTTCAGACCACTGTGCTCACGGGGTGGATGTAATGCATGTCTATAATGAAGACTCTTCATTCTAAAACGTCATGCTTTCGCTGAATGGATGTGAATGCTGGCTTTCTGGACTCCATGACGCCTCCAATTACAGCTCCTTCACAAGATAACTTAGTTCTGAAAGGTAATGCAGTAGAGAATAGCTAGAGGTCACGACATCGTGAAGAAAGGAGCCCAGTACATCAGCCTTTTTGAGCAGGTAACCCTGGAGCTGTCACCTCACCCTGCTGGGCCTTTATTTCCTAACTAGAGGCCAATGCATGAAGATTCATGCAAGAATGGGCCTTCCTTCCCCTGGCTGCCAGCACCGCCTTCGTTCCAGCCAGAGCCTCCTTTTCAGCTGGAGTTACCTTTCAGCCTTCCCATGCTGCCCAGAGGCCCAGAGTGGCTGGGGTGGTGCAGAACGCCTGTGTCGTCGCCATGGCAACAACCCAAGTGTCCTGCCCCATCCCAGGTCGCTCAGCACCTGTGTATACAAATTAACCTGCCATCTTTGTTGAGTTAATTTTCATACTCGTGATTGGCTGGTGGGTGTGGCAAAGGTCAATTTGCATCTTTCTCTTTTATTAGTGTAGAAAGGGCCAGTTTCATTGTGCTTTAAAGTAAGCACATTCCGGGTGACATTAGTGACCTCAGCAATTTGGTTTCTGGGCTGGAGGGGCAGGAACCAGGCAGTTGGGGGTGGGGGGAAACTTCTTACCTCAGTTCTCACTGGTTCCTGCCCCTCCAAGCCCAGAAACCCAATTGCTGAGGTTTTTGATGTTAGCTTGCATATGGATAGACTAATGGAAAAAGATAATGCCACTGTATTTTGCTATAGCAACCCTGAGCGACATTGGTCATAATATTGTCTCATAATCAGTTGGGGACTTTATAAAAATGATACCTATTTAATATCTCGTTTTGTGGTTTAGATGCCTTAGAGACAAAGGCTCACCCCGCACCGCCGGCTCTGTCTGCTCATTTTCCAGGGCGCTTACACCTCTGTGTTCGGGCTCTGGTCTAGTACAGACATGCAGTCAGCTCTCAATGCAACTGCCACAAGCTTTCCTAAGCAAAGAATATTCTGGGCCCAGCCAGATGGGACTTGTTTCATTCCCCTGCCATGGACATAATAGGAATTTCTCTGGGGAGCCGCCGGCCTGCCTTTAGTCTCCATTTATGGTAGGTTTGAGTCAATTCAAAACGCAGCTCTGCTCTCCAGCGTGCTCTCAAAGGCACTCAGATAATGAGGTCTAGTCACATTGCCCTGCTTCTGAGTCGCATTCCTCTGTCCAGAAACCTCTTTTCCTCATGGATGCCTTCTGCAGGCTTCATGTGACTTGGCACAATTTCCCGTAGCTCCGATCCGAGCCAGGGACTATCAAAACACTGCAGGGAACAGTCCTTGCCTGTCCCATGCCGATGAGCTCATGGGTCTTTCCCTTCTCTCCTCTGTGTCCGTGTTTTTGACAGCACAGAGCACCACTCATCTTCCCAGAATCACTTTTTAAAATTTGTTTCCATCCCTACCTGCTATTCAATGAGTAATCCAGTGAGAGGTTTTGCAGACTCCTGGGTAACTGTTATTCATTTCATGGTTACCAGAAGAGTTTAGAAATAGATGTCAAATTAGGGCTGTGATCCAGGCCTGACACCCTGAGGGGCCTTCAGGAGGCTGCTGACTTCTGTCTCAGGTGAGGGTCAGCACTGTCCCCCTGCTTCTCTGACGCCATTGGCTTAGGCACCTCTGTTGAGTACTAGGTCTGAGATATTCTAGCAGCGGAGGCTGGGCTGCTATTGATCCCGTCCACTCACAAGTCCTCAGGGATCTTCCCCTCCCCCCAGTTTTATTGAGATGTTATCCTATTTAATAAAAGGCTAATATGCAAATTGTCCCCTCCCCACAGCTGGTCCCATACTGATCGCCCCCCACCCCAACCCCAATTAGGGGCAGGGCCAGCCGGCCAGCATCCCGCCTCCAACCAGCCTGATGGGCTCCGATTGGGACAGGCCGGCGGGACCCCACCCGTACAACACATTTGTGCACCGGGCCTCTAGTTGAATTATAATATTGTATTCCTTCGAGGTGTATGACATCATGATTTGATATATGTATATAGTACAGAATGATCACCACAAAAAATTTAGTTAACGTTTATCACCTCGCATACTTACAATTTTGTCTTGTGATGAGAACTTTTAGGATCTACTCTCTTAGCAGCATTTAATATACAGTACAGTATAGTCAACTGTGGTCACCTGTCATATATTATACCCCACAGAATGCATTTTATAATTGGAAGTTAATACCTTTGACCCCCTTTCACTCATTTCCTTCACCTCCTGCCCCCTGCTTTTGCAGTTACCAATCTGTTCTCTCTTTCTATGAGTTTGGTTGTGAGTGTGTGTGTGTGTGTGTTGTCTTTAAGATCTCAAATATAAGTGAGATCCTACAGTGTTGTATTTCTCTGTCTGACACTGTAGCATGATGCCCTCAAGGGATAGTCGAGGGAAGATCATTTCATTGCCTTCCTGGTAAGTTCCACCAAGAAAGTCTGTCACTTGGGGTTCCCAGGAAACGTCCCTTAGTGCTCAAGTCCCACCACAACCCAGCCCACTTGCTTTGGGAGTTCTGGGTTCGAACTGGTCTTGGTATCCATGTCCATTTATTTTGAATCCAGAACTGCTTCTCTTGTTTCTCCTTGTGGGTTGGGTTTGTTTCCTATTTAACCCTGACAAAGGGCCTGATTACAGCTCGTTTGTTCTTGGACAAAATGTCATAAGTTAGGTAAGGACAGAGAGGGCTCTCTGCTCCTTCTTCCTTCAAGAGAGGAAGCTGCCTCCAAGATGGTTTACACTTCCAAGAGCACAGAGGTGCGTGCGTGTGTGTGTGTGTGTGTGTGTGTGTGTGTGTGTTGTGTGTGTGTGTGTGTGTGTGTGTGTGTGTGTTTTACTTTTGGCACCTCTTCATTGAACAGCCATAATAAAGCTTCACAATGAATCTTTAGCAGAAACATTTTCTCCAACACAATGGACTAAATAGCCAACTCACTGCATAACATGTGCCCAGAGCACCTGCTGACCCTGCCCTTTTGGATTTACTCAGCAATCCCTTGTCTCCAGTGAGGGAAGGCCAGGATCTAAATGTCCACTGCCACAAAATGGGAACTAACCTAAAACAACGGTATTCCAAGATGGTTCTGATGCTCCACATTCAGTCCTATTCTTCAGAATTTTGTTTGCAAAATATTGAATTTATGCTACATTGTAGTTAGAGGGATATAGCAAAAACTCTTAGCAAATGTAGAGTGCTGAACACATGCAATGTGGAATAATGGTCATTAGTAATGTGCATCTGTCCTTGCGGCTCAGGGTAATCATTTCTTGGCATGGGAACTGGCAGGAAAGGGGAAAGGGTTTCTGGCAGGCAGGATAGAATAGATGGGGGCCAGGAAAAGAGTGAGAGCACGGACCATTAGCGGAGCTGAAGGGGTTTTGTGGGACTGGGGCTTAGAGCGGAGAGAGAAGCCAAGTGAGGATGGGAAGATGGGCCTGGTCCAGGCTGTAAAGGGCTTTGCAATGCGTATTAAAAGATTTGCACTTTATTCTAACAGCAGCAGGAAACCATTAAAGGGTTTCAAGCAGATAAGCCACTCAGTCATACATTCATTTCAGATAGGTCATATGGGTTGGTGTGTGGTCAGTGGGAGGCTTACAGGCTGGGATGCCAGGAGACCACTTAGAAAGCCTTAACGGGCACCAGATAGCGGTAGCTGGCACCGAAGAGGTGACTGTAGAGATGGCGAAAGGTGGCTGGACTAGAGAGATCTCCAGGAAGTGGAATTAACAGAAATTAAGGATAGATAATGTGGGGAGTGAGGCGGGCAACCCAAGCAAGAGCTGTCCTTTCTGCCATTCTCTGCGGTGGAGACCCCGGGAAAGAGGTCGATGTCCAGTATTGCGGATGTTGAGAGGACGTCTGGGACAGCCAGGCGAGAAGGTCTCTTAGATGCACGGGCAGGGTTGAAAATCAGGAGCGCCGTCTGGTGTGGAGACACAAGTGGGAAGTCAGCAGCCTGGCTGTGGTCCTTGAAGACCTGGCTGACTTTGCAGAAGGCGCAGGCTGTCTTTTATCTCTGTGTCCCTGGCCACTGGCCAAGGGCCTGGTGCCCGGGACAGGCTCTGAGATATGTCCACCCTCCATCCTTAGGTAGATTTGCAAACGTGCCCATGCAGGCAAAAGCTCAGGGC